CGCACATCGTGGGCTCAAATCGAACGTTCAAAAGTAGGCAGCCACCTTAAATGAAAATACTTCCTATAAAAGGAAACTCCAATGCGAATTTAAGAAAAATTTATATTTTTTCAATGGGAATTTTGCATTTCTTTATTTTTTTTTAGTCGCAATGTTGCTACGTATAATATTTGGCCGCGGGCTTCCTGTGAAGTGCTGTTTCGTAGGGCCCGGGGGGGGGGGGGGGGGGGGGGGGGGGGGGGGGGGGGAGTGGAAGTGAGGAGTTGACTGTTATACGGAAGGAGATCGAGACTGTCCTAGAATCCCCTCGAGACAGCCATAAAAATGTGTAAATTAATTTTTTGAGTTTGTTAGAAGTTTATTGACATTTTGATGACTAAGTTTTTGATTCTACAGCGAATCGTGTATTTTTGTGAACCTATATTCGTGTGAACGTGTAAACGATTACGAAGGAAATATGTGATTGTTGGACGAACCACGTTGAATAAAACCTTTGAAAATACACGCATCTCGACCTAGTCCCGAGGCAGAGCTCTGAAAAGCCTACACGCAAGTTCCGTCGATTTTCCGATACTCGTGCCCAGGCCCCACTCATTCCTAAATGAGTCCAATCTCACGGACTTTCTGGTCAAAAAGAGCGGAACAGGCTTATAATAGTCTCAGTTTATACTGGGGGAAAATGTTTGAATAAAAACATTAATTCATGCCAGCTGATTGGAGCAAAAATGTTAGCCAATGAGAATCGAGAAATCAAAATTTGCACAAGCTGATGTGTCATTTTTCCTCTTTAAATCACGGGTTTCCAGGCCACCAAATGAAGAAAAAAACGTTGCTAATAATACGCGCTTAATCCATAACACCATAACAATAATATAACTAATCATGAGTCGTATATTTTTATTCTAATGATGGAAAAGTCTATATTTTTCGATGACCAACTTTTGCAGGCTTCATGACACCTCGGTTTCGCAATGACGTCATTTCCACGTCACTATTTCAGATATCAGCTGGTGGTTCCAAAATGTTTAGTAACCGCCTTATCCAATTTCTTAATTTTAGTCAAATTTTTTCTACTGAAGATAGTAATGCTTTTGATTGTTGTTTAAAATCTAATCGCCAAATGACATGGTCTATGAAAAGATTTTTTGGGGTGCTAATGTATAAATTAATCTAGTTAAGATAGACTCGCCATCACAAGACAAAATCATTATAGTAAAAAAAACTAGTTCTATCAATACAAATATAAGCCAATCTGTGAGGTCGTCAAAGCACACACCTGGATAATCCCAGACATTTACTTTTACTAATGACACTTACTATTAACATAATATCGAAAATGTGGGACTACTTTGAAGCATTTCTAGCGAGCGTATATGGCGTGTCATCTTTTTAATTCAAGACCAATTGATGGATGTCCTAGTAAATGAAAATCATCATTCATGCTGACTGCTTGATGTGACATAAGAGGGTTGATTTGTAACCTTTTTTGCTTTTCAATATTAAATGAACTTCATGCTATAAATGCCTCACCGCAAAAAATTTCAATCTGTTTTTTTATTGATAAATTTGTGTTGAGAAATAAATTTCATGCACTAAAAAAATTAAAAATAGAATGCGAGAGCAGCTGTTTCGAAACTTAATCATGACAGGAAATACAAAAGAGGCTTTTTTTCCCAATAGCACTTGCAAAGAAAAACATCTGCATAGTATAAGTGGGTTTTTGTGTCAAGATTGAGCAAATAAATTGGGTCGGATAAAGGGAGAGAAATATCACCATGTATATCGCTTATATAATCACAACTGACCAACCAACCGACCATATATAGTTAGAATATTATTTTGAACAAAGTAAGTCAGTCTAAATCTTATGCGTTAGCTTTTCGGATGTCAAGACCGTGAATAACCCTGGTATCTCATCTCAGCTAGAAAAATGGTAAAAGAAATGAGCAGGCTCCTGAAAGAAAGCAAATGTTCGTGTCATTAACATATTGAAACTCATCTAGTGAAGCACTTTATTCCATCTTCATTCTTCGTAAATTGATGGTCAATTTGAAGCGAAAAATTCTCAAAGAATTGAGTTGAAAAACAACCAGTGAAATAGATTAAAGCTCGATATCCGAACAAGGCTTGCTTAAAGGACCTCTTGTTGGCCAGATTTAATTAATGAACTTGTACTAGCGACAAAATATCGTTCAATTTTTTTGATCGAAGTCAGGTGGAATTATACAAGCCTTGCGGAGATAATGGGACGAAACAGCTCGATTATGGAATTCATCCCAGGGAAATCTGGACTGGATTATTTCACCATCTCTCAAGTATTTTTCATGATTTTGTTTTTTGTGACAGGAATCCCTGGAAATTCAGTAATCTGCTTTTTGGTTTATCGAAGTTCTCGCCTTCGAACTGTTACTATGGTAACGAATCTGATCATCGGGAATCTTGCAGTGGCAGATCTTGCCGTTTGCCTTCTAAAAGTCCCTGTTTCTGTAGCGACAATTGTAGCAGGTTCTTGGGTTCTTGGTGAACTTTTGTGTAACATTGTAGGGTTTATAAATGCTCTTCTGCTCTTCGAAGTCCTCTATTCCTTGGCGTTGGTCAGTATAAGTCGCTATTGCTGTGTAGTGTCACCCTCAAAGTTTTCTTCCTTGTTTACGAAACAACGAACCTTCTTCATGATAGGTGGCACTTGGATTTTGTCTATTCTCTGCGCGGTACCACCGATCTTTCATTGGGGCTCTTATCATTATGAGGAGGGCAAAGCCATATGTGTAATTTCGATGAATGAGAGTCTATCTTATACCATAGTATTAGCTATGGTACAATTTATTATCCCTTTTCTCTTAATCACCGTGCCATATTGCAAGATATTTCGCTTTCTTCAGACACACAACCGAAGACTAAGCGCTAATAGTATAACATCTAGTTTTCGACGTCAAAGTCGAACCTCTCTTTTCCACGATTTTAAAATGACTAAACTTTTACTGATTATTGTAATCTTTTTTGTGGCTTGTTGGACACCATACTCGGTCGTTAATCTCTTAGCCGGTTTTAATATCATAAACCCTATTCCTCTTGGCCTGGATGCAGTGTGCAATCTCTTGACATTTCTATCGAGTTCCTGTAACCCTTACATTTACGGGTTACTTAATAACCAATTTCAGAAAGGATTTCGGGACGTTTTCTGTGGCCTGTGTCAAAAATTTACTGAAGAGAAAGTTGGCACAGGTATCGCTAAACGATCCACAATCAGTAAAAGAGGCAAACGTAGGAAACTGAACAGTTTATCTATTCGTCATAAGGCATCTATTCGTAAATGTGACGGAGGAACACAATATGAAACATCACTGTAAAATTTGTACAGAGTTCTAACTCCGAGTTATATCTATATGCATTGCCATTTCAACATATTCTTTCTATTAAATAAAACTATGGAAACGAAACTTGTCATTCATCTCCTTAGTTCAACTAAAAATATATAAAGCAGAGCTCTGTTCTTTTTCTGGTTTTTTATTTTTTTATTTTATTTTAGGTGGGGCTAATTGAGTTTCTTCCGTCAACATAACCGAAAACAATGTAAAAAAGCATCGTTTTTTTTTTCTGCCCCCCCCCCCCTCCCCCTGGATCCGCCCTTGTATATTCATATATTCTACTTTTCCGGCTATCAGGAAATAAATAAATGAACAAAACTATGTCTTTCGTTAAGTGACTACGAGTCGGCAGGGTGGCATGTTAATAAGTTTTTGTTATTTTTTTCACTACTTCAAGTGTTTACCCCGTTAAACAAAGTCTGTATCTATCCATAGCGAAGTCCCCAAGAGCGTAAAAATAGCTGTGGCATCTGAAAACTGAATGAGTAAAAACAAATTAGAACTATTGGGTAAAAATAACTCTAAAACCTCATGTTTGGCGAGAAAAATAAAGCTGCCAGTTAGAGTAAAAAAAAAAGATTCGTGAAACGACAAGTAGAAAGGGCGGATCCAGAATTTCCAGAGTTATTGTCGAGATTCTGAATTAATGTACTAAATGAGAGGATGAACAGATAATAAATTGATATGTAGAGCTAGTAAACGACTCGAAAAATGATTAAGTCTGGCAGTGAGTAGATTGGCAGTCAGTCAAATCTTTGGGTCTGAACAAAGAAAGAACGCAAACGGTGTTCTTCATAAATATTCATATATTCAAGAATTCTGCACATATAATAACTTATTTGAGATATCATATATTTCCCAGGACAGCAAAGCAGTAATAGTCAGGTTGGCAAACTCAAATACACAACTTAAAACAAAAGCTATAGTTTCACTGTCTTCAGGTTCACCATTAATTCTTCTTAGGATAGTCATCTTCACTTTTTCAAGTATTCTCCCTATTAAAGTGTTTGCTATAAAAGCTAGAACGATTATGGCAAAGATGAAGAGATAAGTACGTAGCTTAGACTGGGTTTGCTGTCTTTCGTTTTGACCACTGATGTCCACATTTAGGAAATACGAAGCCAATCTGTCCATCGGCGAAACTCTTCTTGATCTCTGGTAAAAAGTTCTTCTTTGAGAAGTTGATGGGTTATCTAGTACCTTTAACTGTAATAGCAGCAGCATCAACTACAATAATCTTGCGCATATTTGATTACCATTTTCATCTTGAATTGAGAACTTGAAGATTTTCGCAGGCTGATAGTTGACTTCAGTGTCTTCAATTCCTACCATAAACTGCCAATTTTGAAGCTTAAAACAACATTTACATCTAAATTAGTCCTCTGATGCTTCTCTTTTAGATTAATAGATGGTTTTCGATGCTTTTGTGCGATAATTTTTCCAACTACCTGGTACCTATAAAACATCTGTAAGCAAGCATAATTACTACCAGGCATTCCTTACCTTGGACTTGAAGACTGGGTACAAGTCTTAAAAAATATAGGAAAAATTATTAGWGGGGACGAGAAAGTTTTGTCAATTGTCGACAAAACTATTTCCTTGGAAATTTATCGGGATTTTTACTGCAAACTATAATTTTTTGGGTTTTATATTCATTGCAGAAAATTAATAAAAGTATGAGATTTACTTTCGATACTAGGATATACTTTTTCCAGTAATAACTTATGTCACATGGAATGATTTATTAGTTTAGATTACTCTCTATGAAAAAAAGAACACAATTTCTTTATTATGAAGAAAGTAAAGATAAAAAAATAAATGTGCACTGGCCGGGAATCGAACCCGGGCCTCCCGCGTGGCAGGCGAGAATTCTACCACTGAACCACCAGTGCAACGATAAGTAGCATGGCATTTCAATATTATTAGAACCCATTGCAAACACTTGTAACTTATCTTACCGCTTGCCAGTTGTAACGCGGTCGTTCATGAGAAAGGATTCGAAAGTGCTTCCTGAGTTTCACACAATTTTAAAGGAAAGAAAACTGCCTTAAAATGCTTCCAAATTACAGTCCAGTGACTCAGGCTTTACTAGGAACTCTATTTACCTGGGCTGTAACAGCGGCTGGGTCTGGTTTAGTATTTATCTTTAGCGGTGAACAGGTAAAGTTAAAACAACCTTCATATTCCTTCTCTTCTTAGACGTTTTCTCTTGGTTTATTTAGTGATTTATTTTCTCTTTGAATATCTTTTCAGCGTAAAGTTCTCGATGGAAGTTTAGGTTTTGCTGCAGGGGTAAGAACTGTAGTTCTAATAAACTTCATTTAAAGTAGAGCTCTTTTTACTCTACACGCGCGGACACGTTTTATAACTATTTCCTTTGAGAATCCATTTAATCTTAAAATGAAGCATTTCAATGTAAGTTAAGTATTCCCATGGAAACGCGTTGAAAATTATGAAATCATAAAACAAAAGCCTTACTTCTGCCATACAAATTATTACATAATTACAAATGAAAACACGATATTCTAAGTTTTAGATTGCTTCATTCAGAGAGAAATAGGTGCAAATGCGCCTTTGTTGTATTTACATTTGAAGAAAATATGCGCCAAAAATTAAAACAATACTCATTTTTTACATCACTTTTGGATCCAGTTATTAAAACATTGAGTAAGAAATATCATTTATTTGCTCAAGAATATTCAAGTATATCATTATATATTTTCTTTAAAAATGTTTTCTTGAATTTTTTTCTTGAGGACTGCATGTATAAGTCATGACATGGTCACAGTACTGAACAAACAATAGATCATTGCCCAGCCAATGAAAATGGCAGGACATTGCACCATCACAATCAGGGCACCACATACCCATATCACGATTGTTCACAACTTATTACTAATAGGGGGAATAACGCATGATTTAAAAAGGGAAAAACATTCTAGGAAAACATGGATATAAAAAGTCTACCGTATTTCCTTTTTCTAGGTAATGCTCGCGGCATCCTATTGGTCTTTATTGAACCCTGCAATAGAAATGGCAGAGAAATCTGAGTACTGGGGACCAGAAGGCAAACTGGCATTTATTCCTGTATCTATTGGCTTTGCTGTTGGTGCAGCATTTGTTTTCGCAGCAGATAGGATACTTCCTTATATGGTAAGGTGATTCCTTATACAGTCATTTGATTTATTATTTAGGGTCGATAGCAGAAGATAATTCCGAGCATTTTGCCAGGGTGTTACCTCTGAAGCGTTCACCATTTTGGATTTGCAAGAGCTAACAATGAGTAGGCTGGGGACAAAGCATGCCAAACAACAGTACAAACTAGTAAATCCTGTTACCTGGGGATGACTTATCACCCCTCCCCCCTGGAATCTTCACCTATGATATTGATAAATACCAAAGGATTTTTATGTCATCTCTGTTTTTTTACATAAATTGCCTTAAGATTTTCCAGTGTGTTCTTGGGATTTCTTCATATTTTTTTAAATTCTTTTTTCAGGGGCTTGAATCTCCCAGTTTTTTGGACAATGTGTTATCAGATAAAAAATCCTCACCAACGACAAGGAACTTCACAAATAAACATGATAAAAATGATAAAACTATTGTCAATCATACGAGAAGAGATGAAATGAAATCAACTGTTACTCACAGGACTGTGTCATCCAAACATTTGGATGAAGACGTTGAAAATGACAAAATTACTAAAGAAATTACTAGAGAACAAAAGATATCCAGTTGGAAAAGAATTTTACTCTTGATTATAGCGATTACAGTACATAATATACCAGGTATGGACGCTGTAAATGTGCTGTAAAAACTTAAGAGTTAGGACCTTTGCAAATAGTGCCTAAAAAAATTTCTTATTCTTGAAATGTTTTGTGATGCTTAAAATTTATTATTTTTGGCGCAAGTATAGGTGGCTCAGTTGGCTAGTGTGTGTTGCCAGCAAATCGCTATTAGAACTGTTTGTTATCTTATATGTGCATTTATGACCTATGTAGATCATAGGCTATGATGAACAATTTCAAGCATAGACAAAATAACTGCATGCCCAGGTATAAATCCCTTTGCAGCACGTCGGAATGCAGCTCAATTTGGAGGACATAATGATAGGTTTCTAATTCCTAGGAGATTGAAAATTTGGTCTTGTCCTTCAAATTGAGCTCTTTTGACGTCACATATAAGGGGTCTATTGATTGATGGGGGTAAGAGATAATATCAAAGCCTTGTGAGAGCTTGTGTAACATAGTATAACACTCATATTTTACTTCTTAACAACAATAGGAGAAATGGAAGGGACAAAAGGGAAAAAAGAAGCTAATGAGCTTGGGGACTCAATACTATTTTCTAAGCTTATTGTCGTCTCAATGAACCATTAATTTTCGTTTCTTTCATACGTACAGAGGGTCTTGCTGTTGGAGTTGCTTTTGGAGCTATTGGAAAGACAGCATCGGCAACGTTTGAAAATGCAAGGTTTGTGAAACAAAATGTTAAGTTTTTTTAAATATCAATCTTTTGGATCGCACTTAAAATTTTCAAAATAAATTTTTTTCAACAGGAATCTCGCATTAGGAATTGGAATTCAAAATTTTCCAGAAGGCCTTGCTGTTAGTTTGCCATTAAAAGCTTCTGGGCTGTCTCTTTGGAAGAGTTTCTGGTATATATACATTGCAATGTTATCTGAAGATTGAAGTGGGAAGCACGTCAGAAGTGGGATCAGAAAGATTGAAATGTTTTCTTTTGCTTGGGTTGTGCTTTCACTTATGACTAGCAGTTTCACTTGCAATCATTTCATGCATAAAGTGTTTCAATCTCTGACTCTCATTCTGTCACAAGTAAAAACCAGACTTAAAATTTGTCTTATAAATTAATCAATCGTTGGGCTTCCTTTGGCCATAGGTTATCCAATTGTAAAATTTTATCTGTTTTTATCAGGTACGGACAGCTTAGTGGCATGGTTGAACCAATAGCTGGATTATTAGGTGCATATGCTATAGTGGTGAGTATGGTTGTATTTTATATGTTACTGGGGAGGGGAAAAACAGAAAAGGATAACTCATTTATGGTATAATGATATCCATACCTCTCCCATTGAGGGGGCAGTTGCAATTTGCAATTTCCAAGGGGTGGGGAGGGTCTGAGGAGGGTATATTGTGTAGTTCCAGAAAATATCCATACCTCCCCCATGGAAGGGRATTGGGATTTCCAAGGGGTGGGGAGGGTCTGAGGAGGGTAGATTGTGTAGTTCCAGAAAATATCCATACCTCCCCCATGGAGAGAGATTGGAATTTCCAATGGGTTGGGAGGCCATCTTTTTTATATTTGTATTTTCTGTTATTATACAATAAAATATATTTATACAAACTTTGTATTTTTCAGGTTGCAGAGCCACTTTTACCTTATGCTTTAGCATTTGCTGCAGGTGCTATGGTTTATGTTGTTGTTGATGATATTATACCAGAGGCACAAACAAGGTACTGTCAGATTTGTTATTACCACATATTCTATTTATTTATTTTTGTTTGTTTACTTTCCACCCATCTAACTATATACCCTACCCATTTATCCATCCATCCATCCATCCATCCATCCATCCATCCATCCATCCATCCATCCATCCANCCATCCCATCCCATCCCATCCACCCACCCCATCCCATCCCATCCATCCATCCTTCCATCCATCCTTCCATCCCACCCATCCATCATTTATTCATCCCATTTTCATATCTATGTTTCATTCTCTTTTTCAGTGGGAACGGCAAACTGGCTTCATGGATGTCAATAGTGGGTTTCATCATCATGATGTCACTGGACGTTGGTCTAGGTTAATGTTAGTATCACTTATGTTAGCAAGATACTTTATTACTTCATCTTTGATAATCTCTAATAACATGCTCTCTGTGTATGGGTATATACACTGTATAGGGATATCTTGTGTTTAGGTTATTTGCAGGGCATACTTCAGAATTTCTGGTCTTTATTACAAAACCAATGTTTTCTATTCTTTTTTAGACCTCCATTTAACATTTTAGGGTAATAATAATAGTTTTTATGATGGTTGAACAAATTCACAATGCTTACTGGTATCCAAAGGGTTCTTACTCTCGTCACTACATTGAATTCTATACAAAGGGAGAAATATAAATTATAAATAATCAATACTGCTGTTATTAAACTTTGTTTCAAATTATTAGCAATTCTTTACTATAAAAAGACCTCAATAAAAATTTAAAGTTAAAGATGTAAAAAATGGTAAATTAGTTGTTATTAAACATTAACTCTACTTTTTATATTATCTTGTATCGTTTATCCTAATTTATTTCAAATTGATGAAGGGATTGTTTTGAATAAAGAAATGTCATTGTTCATAATTCTGGATATTAATAAATTATTACATGTAGTCATCAATTTAAATACTGGTACCTATATAATAATCATTATCATAGTAAAATAAACACTAAAAATAAACATAGCCACTGAACATTTGAAGTTTACATCAAAATAATGTTTAATTTTTCTCCTACAATAAAAGATTCCATGTTCTTGGATTAAAAAAGTGTTGATAAAAATACCAGAAGCTCAAAAATTTATTAACTACATTGATTATTAAATGGTCAGCTAGCTCTTAGTTCCCAAGCATTTCTTTCCATATTCACTGTAAAAGAAGCCTCTATTCAGCACACACCCTTCATTGAACAGACAACTAGCTGCATAGTCTCCCTCGCATCCGTTTTTAGTGTCGGTCATCACACAACGATATCTATTCAGCATACACTGTTCTTTAAGCAGGCACCAGGCAAAGCAAAAATGGTGCTACTGTTATATCAAATCACAGTGATATTGAGATGGGAAACTTATACGAGATTCAGGATTACTGTAAGGTCATTTAAAGGTTCAAGTCTTCTGTGGATGACACTCTCAATTCATTAACAAATTACAAGTATTTTTAAATAATTTTTAATTTCAAAGGTTTTTCATAGTTTTTATATATAATTACATTAACAAAATAAGCTTTCAAAACAAGCCTGTCATGCAGGGTAAAATGTTTATAATGGCAGCAAGTGAAAACTGCAATGATATTTATATTTTATTGAGTATTTATTGATGTATTCTACAAGTGTGTAGATCATCTTGTCACACGGTGGCAGAGTTTTTCTAGAGGGGTCACTTTTTAATGTACAATCTTTTTAGAGGTTATGGGTTCTAGAGAATATGAATTTGCTTTGTATACACTTAATTGAAATGTGGTTAATTTGAATAACTATTGTTCTGCACTGACCAGCGACCGGCTAGTAGCCACGTGTTCATGTGGAAACATAAAGCCGTTTTCACATGTATGAGAGGCTAGTCAGTTGCTAGTCAGTGTATAGACTGCGAGTTAAGTCCCTCTATTTCCCTTGGTCACTGTCCGTCTGTCTGTCTGTGTCGATTGGTTGAGGAGGATTGGTTAAGAGTCAAAAGTCCCTGGGGGTGGTGACCAAGGAAAATAGAGGGACTTAGCTCGCAGTCTAGTCAGTGTAGAATTGCAGTTATTTAAATTGATCGCCATATTTCAATTCGATTTCATGCATCGGTTCGTTTCATGCATGCACTTTTGGGATGCACAAAATGCCCTTTTTGCAATCACACATGCCAGTATGTTAGTAGCAACATCTGGTACCATGGGTGGTTGCCTAACTCTTTCCAAAAAATGAAAATTCCTAACCCTCTTGAAAATATGACTTTTCATTGAATTCCATGCATAAAACATATGAAGTTAACAGGTATGCTACAATCTTGAATTTTCAAATTAAATTTTAAGACAACATTGATCAAGCAATAGTCCATTTTCTCATTCGGTAAATACTGTTTGTACTAAAGTCTCATCTGCACAGGCTGAGCCTCGCTTAAGAGTAAATAATTCACAAAAGTCAGCTGTATCGTAAAGAATGTCCTAATGAACAATACCAATGTTTCAAAATCCGACAGACTTTTAATGGTATCTGTGAATAGCTGACTTATAAACAAGGCTAAGCCTGTGCAAACGAGCCTTTGGCCTTCAAAAAAAGCAGTATGCATTGAATGTGAAACTGGTGTATTAAGAATTGATGGGTGTATTTCTATGATCTGAGAAGGAAAGCTAATATGTAGGGTATATTTATCTATTTGAAATCATTTTCATTCTATGTAAGAATAATTTAAATTATTACATAATATAATTTAAATATTTTGTTTAATCTATGTTATACTTTCTTTTCCTTCTTCTTAGTAGAAGTTTTTTCTTTGATAATGTTACTATAGTATATTAGTTCATATCCCAAATATGGCCATGCTTTGTGCTATATTTATTTATATGTAGAGTCATTTGATTAAGATTTCTAATAATTATTATAATTATTATAGTCGTGCTGGTGATGCAGTTAGCATATGTAATAGGACTCCATGCTGTCCAAGTAAGAAATAATTGGACGAGGAAATTTCGAGGACTGACAAAATTGGATGAGGCCGTAGGCCGAGTCCTATTTCGCAGTCAGAGGAATTTTTCGAGTCTAATTATTTCTTGATTGGGCAGCAGGAAATCCCATTACCTATTAATTATATAGCTGCCTAATTAATCCCATATCAACAAGACCTGTCCAATTAAGAAAATAATTGGACAGTTACCCACATGGGATTAATGAGAAGCTGTATAATTACTATAATAATATGTTAGAGTGACTTGACTTGAATTTCCATATGCTCATATTTAGTAGCATGTCCTTATATATATACAGTCATATGACTAAGATTGTCAAATATGGTTGTTTGTAGCAATGTATTTCCTTTTCCTTTTATATAGTTAGGAAAGTAGGCATGTTCTGATTGGTCCAAACTGTGCTTCGTTAATGAACAGAGCACATTGCTGACGGCATCCGCACACACGATCCTGAACCTTTCTTTTTGCAAAAATAAATTCAATACCGAAATAAAATTAGTAACTATATAACAAATCAAACTGCTTTTTCCGTGCTCCATTCAGTAATAAAGCACTAAGGAAGTGCCGTTAGCACGAAACTGTGTGAGAAGCCTCTCCTTACACTTCTTTCGTGCTTATGTCACTTCCTGCATGCTTTATTACTGAACAGAGCATAGAAAAAGCTGTTTTATTTGTTAAATATGTAAGAACATGTGATTGTACGTGCGTGCACTGACAATACGATGATAAAAATCAGACACTGGAATGGCTTCCACTTAGAAAGTCCAGGATGGTTCTCCCATGATATACATATGGACCAAAGATCAGCAGCAACTGCCATACTCCATGTGCACTGACAATAAGATGATAGTCCTTAATGTTGAATAACTGTTACACTGAAATTGATTCCAGATATTGTTGTGTCCATAGCACTGGTTCGTGAAATCTTCTCTCTATCTGATGTTTTATTGAAGTGTTCTCATTTCATAAGCCACGTATCGCATTAGAAAACAATGTACACCCAATGTACAAAAACACCCATAAACCATGTTCCATGTTTTAGATATCTGTATTCCTTGAAGTAGGATGATATCTTAGGGAGGTGTCGGCAGTGCTTAGGAAAGCCATGTAGCAAAGGTTCTTTTACATGACGATAGGTTTGTGTGATTCCACCTCAAGTGAATACAAGGCTGAAACCCAAGTTGTCGGTAAATCCATATTCTTATTTATAGAATGCCATATCCAGAAGAAGTTTGAATGGCATTTAGTATTGTGCATCACCGTGTAGGAAGCATCCAATAGACCTCAAGTACTTCAGTCTTCAAACCAATCCCTGTCAGTAATCCATACCCATTATATATATATACCATTTATATGACTGGAGTTTGGTTTGCACTGCTTTTACCACTCGGAATTTGACCATTTCTAGATCTTATAGACTTCTTAAAGTTTGTGTTCCTTATGAGGACAGGAGAGCTGGAAGGAGTGTTGAAGATGTTCAATAGCTGTGGTTGTTCATTTGCTGTGTAGACTCGCAGGGTTGGTTTACTGTCGTGTCTTTTGAGGGCACTCTTCAACCAGTATGTCTCAACATTACCTTTACCCTGAAACATGATGCAAGATGGGGTAATTACATAGATTGTAATGATGGTGAAGATAAAGATGACTAATGAAGATGCTGTTGATGGTGATGATGACTGGTGATGATGGTGCTGGTGATGATGGTGATGCTGTTGATGATGTTGGTGATGATGATGATGACTGGCAATGATGGTGGTGGTGGTGATGATGGTGACATTGGCTGCTGATGATATTGATGATGATGACTGATGATGGTGGTGACAATTGCTGCTGATGATATTGATGGTGATGATGATGTTTGATGATGGTGACAATTGCTGCTGATGATATTGATGGTGCTGATGATATTGATGATGATGATGCTGTTGATGATGATGGTGATGATGATGACTGTTGATGGTGACATTGGCTGCTGATGATATTGATGGTGATGATGGTGACTGATGATGGTGACAATTGCTGCTGATGATATTGATCGTGATGATGATGATAACTGGTGATGATGAGCATGGCACTGGTGGTGGTGTTAGCAATGATAATAGTGTCAAGGGTACCTATAATCTTGATTGTTATGATGATTGGTAATAATCATGATCAGGGTTAGTGGATGAAAGATGGTGGTGTTAATGATAGTGATGATCAATTCATAATGATGATGATGATGACAGGCATATACTTCATACCTTAAGGTAAACTTGTCCTCTAGTCTCGACCACAAATCCACCAAGTTCTTCTAAGATTTCTTTTGTTACCTCACTAATATGAATCTTCAAAGCTAAAAACAGCATTTATTTATGTATTAAGATATTTCCACACACAACAAAACAGGAAATGTATTTCTTAGTTATTTATGCCGGCATCAAATGGATATCTAGAAGTTTGTTAGGCATCAAAACAAACACTCGTAGGGAATCAAGGGTGGTATAGCAGTGTTGTACACATGCCTCTCACCACTGGGGTTTGAGGTTTGATTCCTGGACACTGCATCAAATGAGAGTAGAATTTGTTAGGTCTTTCCCTTGATTAAAGGGATTATCTTTGGGTTCTCTGAGTTAGCAGTGTCCTGACTTTGATCAGCTCAGAGGCTGTTTCACAGTTCGATCTGTGAGTTAGTCATGGCCTGACCTAGATCAGCCCAGAGGCTGTTTCACAGTTCGATCTGTGAGTTAGTCGTGCCCTGACTAAGATCAGCTCAGAGGTTGTTTCAAAGTTATATCTGTGAGTTAGCTGTGCCCTGACTTAGATCAGCTCAGAGGCTGTTTCATAGTTCGATCTGTGAGTTGGTCATGCCCTGACTTAGATCAGCCCAGAGGCTGTTTCAGGGTATTGATAACAATTCCTTACGTTCTCCATTGGCTTCCATTCTTGATGCAGTATTGACGGTATCCCCAAAGAGACAGTATCGAGCCATGGTATTCCCCACAACACCAGCCACAACTGGACCTGAAACAAGAACCAAGAAGAGCAATATTCATTGTTACATGTTGCAAGTGGTAATGGATATTCAAATAATCATAATGTATGAGAAAGGGATTCATATATCTTCACTCTACTCTTCCCCACCAGCAATTTAAAGTCAATTGAGCATTATTCATTTTACGGGACATGAAACAAGAATAAGGACCAACATTTTTAAATAACCTTCCCTTAGGTTAATACAACATACCACTATGGACCCCAACACGAAGTTGAAGCTTGTAATCTGGCTTGTGTCGTACAACAAAGTTCATGGATACTGCTTCAAGCAGATGTAACGCCATCCTACATATTTCACCTGCATGACGTCTACCATTACGTATAGGTAGACCACTGACTACCATATATGCATCACCTATCGTCTCAACCTGTGACAAATTGTACATAATAGTTGTAAGAGTATGGTCTTGTCTCAATAGGAATTATATTGTTAATATGTATACGCACCTTATATACATCGTATTCTTGAATAATGTCATCAAATAATGTGTATAAATCATTTAGAAGTGTGACAACCTAAAATTAAGAGATATTAACTTTAGCATTCTTTCGTGATCAAGTCATCTTGTCCCAACACATTCATTGAAAAACAAGGAAATGTTTGACTTCACATTGCGTAACATCATATTGCATGACATAATGTTGTGTGACATCATGTTGCGTGACAATGTTGTATGACAAGATGTGATATAGTACCTGCATGGGTGTACTCTCAGCACTTAGACTTGTGAATCCTACAATATCACTAAAGTAGATTGTTACTTCATGGAAACTTTCCGCTTCGACAGACTTTCCTTTCTTGAGCTGCTCTGCTACAGGTCTGTAGGCAAACAATCATGACCAAGAATGCTATTAATTGATAGCAAATCACTTTTATTTCTTAAGGGAGCCTTTGTAAAGTAGTAGTAGTTGAGGACTCAGGACTGTACATTTGATTAATGTAAAGTTATAAATTGCTTATGACTTCTGCCATTGTCAAGGCAGGAACTTTCTGAATGCTCTTGCACAGCTAGTCTGCAGTATACCTTATTGCTATACAATACATGTTCTATCTGGATATTTTTATCAGCGGAGTTACCTTGGTAATATACTTTCTAATAAAGCATCTGTTTTTCTTTTCTCATCCATAAGTTGAACAGTTTTCTCAGCTACTAATTCTTCTAAGTTATCTGCATATTTTTCCATCATTTGTACCATATTATCAAAAATATTTCTCTTCCTATACAAATTAAAAACACAGAAACAAATTAGGAATACAATACAGCTAATATACAGAAAAGCTTGATTTCCCCTGCTAATTTATAGTCTAATTATTTTAACTTTTGTCTGAAATAAAATATAAATAAACATTAGATCCATGTTCACGATTCGAAATGTTTGTGAAATTATTTCAAAGTATTTTATTTCAGAGACAAACATTTCAAGTAATTTTATGATTCCTTACTTCAATTCTAGTATTTTTAAACATATAAGTTATTTAAATACAATACTTAATATTTTTATAATTCTTGTTACAGTAAAGTGAGATATACTTACATGCCACTGCTAACTACTATTTTATTAATACTCTTTTTAATCTCGTTAAAATCTGGTCTGTCGTTTGGCTCCTCCTGCCAGCATTGTTTCATCATGTCTCGGAGCTCTTCTGCGCCACTGATCAGATTAGGTACAACAGGACGAAATGGAGGAAACTCTCCTGCCCGGACCTTCTCTACAATTGCTACAATAGATAAATTATTTATTAATAGTTATTAGTATAATTTTGAATTAACATGTTAAGAGACATAAGCTTTTCAGAGTTGGATAAACATGATGCATTGTGGTCTAGCTTGGGTTTAAACACCATTAAGACAATCGTACCCAAGCTAGACCACAATGCACCATGCTTGCTTTATTAGGAAAGAGCTTTACTTTTGCAAAATCATTGGCATGTAACAAAGTCAAGCTGGACAGCACTGTATTAGTACAAAATTACTGTTAATCCAGTCAGAAAACTTGGATATGGCAGAGCGATTAATGAGCGCATTCTTACAAATAAATTTTCATTTATTCTCCCATACATTTTGGTTCCATGTAGTCACCACTGAATGGACCTTCTCTGGTATGAAACTCTTGCAACATGATGCCAAAACTGTACACATCACCCTTCTGGGTTCCCTTGGCAGGACGAATCGGCATCCTCAGGATTTCTGGAGCAACCCACAACAAATCTGAAGAAAAATTCAAAAGTAGTATTCTTATATGATAATGGATTTATAACATCACTAAACACCACCATCACCTCCATCATCACTCACTACTGTTATCACGATCATTGTCGTCATCATCATCACCATTATCATCCAACATTTCTATCACCACCACCTTCATCCATCATCATTGTCATTTTCATCATCACCATCACTCTTCATTTACATCACATCATTACAATCAACACTGGCATTACTACATGCCCTACATCATTGTCTTCACCACTACAACTTTTATTGTCAACACTATTATTATCCAATAGTGTATGATTATTCCCTACTTTATCACAATCATCCTCTTCAGTACCTGTCCAACATCAGTATCATCATCATCATCACCATCAAAAATCATTCTCAAGATAATTCCAAGATTTCTCCTGAACCTCTCAAACATATAAAGTCTAATCCATGGTGTTATTACTCATACCTTGCCAGTTTATCTCTGTGTTGACCTTCCTCGCCCGCGCTCTAATCGATGGTAAACCATAATCTGTGATTTTCAAAACCCATCGACTGTCAACGAGACAGTTAGAAGATTTAAGGTTTCCATGGGAACGGAGGTCTGAGTTATGAATATATTCCATTCCCTGTACAAGGAAACAAAACCAATTAAATATCTTTCTGGGAATTAAGGTGGCTCATCACTGTGGGGTAGCCTCACCTTGACAACGTCAGAAACGAGAGATGCTATGAAGACAATATCGAGTTTTACTTCTTCATTCTCTAAAATATCCTATGGAGAAGGAAACATCAATCTGTTATCACCATAGCAACCACGTTACAATAACGACAAGCAGTATTGGTAGATTACCTGTAGACTTCCTCTAGAGCAGTATTGCATGACAATACAAACGCTGGGTGGGCCTATGCATACTCCTAAGAATTGATTTAAGTTGTCATGTCGTATATCACGCATCTGAGGATTGAACATTAGTAAATAATAATATTATTAATTGCTTGAGATGGCGTTACAGTCAAAATATAGGAGTCTATCACATAATTTCAGTATCCTCAAATTAACATTTGATAATTACATGCGCACAAAGCTTATGTGTAGAGAGGATGTGTGTAAACAATTCGCAATTCTCCTGAATGTTTTGCAATCAGTGTAGAAAGATGTAGAATGCATCATACCTGTTTCATTTCCAGCAAAACCTGTCTGTTAACATCGATAGAACGGATAGGAAGACGTGCTACTGTCACCACGTTGCACTGCAAAGACAAGATGTTGAACACTAATAAATACTCATGATTATCACAGTCTTACTAAGTTCCATACTAAGATTTGTACATGCCATAATTTACCCAACATATTAACAAACTAGCATGGACTGCTTACTGTAGTTTTGTGGCTACGACTAGCCGCGATGCTACACCACGACATGTACAGACCTATTTACCAATATGTACAGACCTATTTACCAATACTACTAATATTACTTTAATATAATTACCTTGTAATGAGCTACAGAAGTTGATTTCTCACCGTCTATAGGATAATCTATCAATGGTAAGTTCTCGCCTTCATCTGTCAGCCTCTGTGCACAAAAACTGGGTTTAAAACTTGGACTTGCAAGTTAAAAACTATTTTGGATTCCCAGAGTCTATGCATGCGAGTAGAGTTTGTTAAGTTTCTCTTGAATTGAGGGTTTTTCGCAATGTGCTCAAACTTCATACATGGAATGTATAGTGGCGGCAAGATGCGCCTTTGCATGCTTTCAGTTTGACCCTGTTGAGCTGCGCCACTGCTGTACTTGCGATGGTGATTAGCAATGCCTATTCCAATTTGAAGGTTTTGCTAACTGGTAAGACATGGTATTAATTCAGAATGGCTCACCATCAGACTGCTTGCTAGTGACGCTTCAGATCGTCGTCGTCGTCCTTGATCAAAGAACAGTTCGTTGTATTCGATCTTCCATAATCTACTGTTAAGCTCTCTCTCTACTTTATAATGCCTGGGATAATCAAAAATAATAAATTAATAGAATTGCCCTATTTCACTATGATGTCACATCAAAACCTATTGTTTAAACACAAAGGATCATGGTAGTCGGAGTGGATCAAATCAACGCAAATTCACCAAAAATTGTTCTAAAACCCGTATCAATCCACGAAGAGAAGTAGAATAGCCAGCAAACGCTCAGAATATTTTTTAGTACATATTAACACATATTATATCTGAAAACCAGGCCATTTTAGATTAAACTGTTTTGCTAGGAGCAAATCTCGTTGAATTTTCTATTGGAGTTGGCGATTCTATCCCCCACATAAACAAGGAAATAGGGCAATTAATGGTAATCATTTTATAATTTACCAATATCTCAAAATCATAAGTCATAAAATTTTTAAAAAAATATTAACTTAAGTTATCATAATAATAAATATATTAATAATGATAATGAGTAATAAATATATTAATGGTAGTAGAAATGAAAGTTAATATTATAAAACTAATAATAATATAAAAATAATGAATGATAATAACAAAGACCATAGTATCAATAATAGTAAAGAAGATAATAATTATTAACTAACTATAATGTATTGATATTGAATCAATATGTATATCAAATATTCTCTAGACCAACCTGAATAATATGGCGATCAGTAGAACAGCCAATACTCCAAGCACCACAGAAATAGTAGTAATAATAATATGCGTGTTATCTGAATAACATTGTACAAAGTTATATGTCAATATAGGAAACATTATATTATTTTTTTTTTTTGGAAGGGGGGAGTTGAAGGGTGGTACTTGTAAAGCTGCCACCAAAAAAGTAGTATTCAAGTAGATGGTTGTCTGGGACTTTAAATTCTTTCCAAGTTTCCCTCTGTTTTTGTTTACCTTTTTTTTCTTCTTTGGTCGTGTTGCACAGTTTGCCATCAAAACCACACTTTGGCATATCTGGGGGAGGCCATTTTTTAAACCAATGTATTTTTTTGCCCGGTGAAAACACCAATTCGATGTTACCAGCAGGATCCCCAGATGGCATGAACGTCCCCACTTCATCCATTATCACTGCAGACAACAAGACAGTTACCATGATTGTAACATTTAACATGCTAATGACTTTATGCAAGTTTTGAGTTGGGGGAGGGGGGGGGGGGGGCTATTCTAGGGGATCTAGGGGATGCCCCAACTACCCTGAAAATTTCAAACTAGAGGCTCTCAAAAATGCCAGTGTCTTGAGGGGACAATTGTAACAAATTTATTTTATAAAATAACTTTTATAAATCTCGCATTCTGATTGGTTGGGAGTGTGTGCTTTATGAGAGCACATAGCACGCATGCACCCTTTGCATTGTATTTTATTTTCTGCTACGCGGCATGCTTCTCCTAACACTTCTCTCGTGTCCTACCTATCCCAGTGAAAATTTATTTTTGGCTGAAAAGGGTAAGGCCACTTGCCTCCGCGATCCCTACTATAACAGTAAATACAATATTCAACACAAATCTTAGAAGTCACTTTGACAACACTATCGGAACTGTTACCGTGACGGCTAATACCAATATTACCATGGCTACATTATTACCATGATTGCCAGGTTACTGTTACTAACAGTTACCATGACAACCAATATCACAATATTGTTACTATGACAACCGACACATCCTCACATTTATCATTCTCCATTCGCACACTCTTAAGAGTCATGTTGTATTCGGCATCACCATTCTGGTCCATGCGCACTTGATAACCTCGAATACCTGTATGATATGGAAAAAGTATATCATTTTATCAGCTCTGACAATCCGGTTTTGGGACCCGAACAGGCTGGCCTGGTAATCTACACTCGGGTTTATGAAAAAAAAATTTTTCATATTGAGTCTACTTCAATTCTGATATAATTTGTCGAAATGTTTGCTTGAATGATAAAAAATTTCAGTGGCCCAATGGCCGATCGCTGAGGTACCCCATAGTTTTTTTTTTAATCCGGTTCAATGCCACAATGGTATTCATGACACAAGACGTCCGGAAACTTACTATCAAAGGAGATGTTGTGCATCTGACGAAGTATTACAGATCCTTGGACTGGTAATCCTTTAGCTAGGGTCTTGTTAAGAGCGATAGCAAACTGGTACACGGCATCGTACAGGAAGGCTGCATATGCTGTAGGCTGAACCAATAATAACGGATTAATTCGATTCCGCAGGAAACAACACGGAGAAATCGTAGTTGCAATGTAGCCGTGACGTATCTTACCGTAACTACGCGTTGTGATTGCATGAATTACTCGAAAACTTTGGGAAGCCATTTCAATGTTACAGCATGTCGTACCATGTATGTGTGGTAATGTCAGTACCGCATTTTCCCCACTAATATGGAATCCGCTGTATGGAAGCCATTTCAGTGTTACGGCATGTTGTACCGTGTACCTGCGGTACCGTACCTTTACCACTCATACGAAAACCGCTGTATAAGAAGCCATTTCAATGTTACGGCAAGTTGTGCCGTGTACATGCAAGTTGTACATGTCAATAATGCGCGTTTCCCGCACATACACATTATTACTTCGAACCATTATTCGAACTTCAAGATCTAAATTCCCCGTAGTAGATTCACGTCTAACTGAGACTTCACAGGGTACGGTACAAAATTGACATCAATCCTTTCAACCAATCACAGCACGCGAGGCAATTTCTTATGCAATAAATTTAGCGCAAACTAATTTAAACAGGCATACGACATTCTGTCTACTCAAAATAACCTGCGTCTTCCGAGGATAAGGTTCAATTGCCTCTCTCTCCGCGCTGTTTTGATGTTATCATCGACGCCCTATTTTGGCCTCAGTTGAACGAGCCACTCACACGATAAAGTGAGCAGTGATGATATAAAGATGCCATTGTACTCCCCCTACCCCCAAAAAGTACCATCCAATCTACTGAAGACAGAAAAGGTGATGATTCATTACGTGTTTCCATGCCAACACTGTCTTGACATCTGGCATCATACTTTCAACAAACTGTATTTTTGATAATTCAACTTCCTTGCCACCGAAGTGAAAACTACTTCGACTGACGTACCCCGAAAGATTAAGATAGTCCAAACAAACTGTGTTCCTAAAATAAATAGATACCTCAAAGAAAGACGTTGCGTTGACATAGATATCACTGTTGAAGGGCTCCTTAGACGTCCATGTTCTTAAATCCTTGACAAATTTATCGTATCTTTGACCTTTGGGACTCTTGACTGTTATCACTAAGCCGGCTTGTAGCTCTCGTCTTAAATACAAGGACCTTTGACGAGAATAGAAAAGGACGTGACAATCAGCACGTCTTGTTTGGCGTGGTACAGACAGCATTATAACACTTGAAAACTTAAGAGGTTTTGCTTTTATGAAAATATCAGTGAAGTGAGGTTGGAAAAGGGCAAAAGACGATGAATGATATTAGGCTTAGCACCAAAAAGGGTTAAAAAGCCTAGATGATAAATAATATAGCAAATGAAGTAAAATGTGCTCAGTAGGGACATAACAGAACGAACTTAAAAAGAACATATAGCAAAAATTTACCAAATGTCCATTTTTGTCCATTTGTTCCAGAGTTTGATCTGTGAGTTAGCCGTGCCCTGACTTAGATCAGCCAAGAGGTTGTTTCAGGGTTTGATCTGTGAGTTAGCCGTG